TTGCCAATACCAGATCCAGTATGGCATTCCCCCTAGTGGGACCGTGTACCTCCTGTGTCAGGTGGAGGTCCTGTACACAGGTTAGAAACCTGCGTGAACGGTGGGACTTTGCCGTCTGCAACTCCCAGCAGATGTCTGGGTAGTTTAGGTCCCCCATAACTACCGCCTCTTTAGCTTTTATGGTCTCTGAGAGCTGCCTCAGGAGCCCCAAATCTATTTCCTCCCCTTGGTGTGGGGGTCTGTAGCAGACCCCTACCACGAAATCCCTTTCTCCTTGCCCATGTAGCCTAACCCACAATCCTTCTACTTCCTCATCCTTTGATTCTGTCTTGATGAGGGTCGATGTATATTGCTCATTGACATAGAGTGCAACCCCTCCCCCTTTTTTCCCCACCCTGTCCTTTCTGTACAGCCTATAACCCTCAATATGTACCGCCCAGTCGTGGGACGAATCCCACCAGGCTTCCGTTAGCCCTACTAAGTCATAGGTTTTTTGTGCCAGCAGGAGCGCTAGTTCATCCTGCTTGTTCCCCATGCTCCTAGCATTAGTATATAGGCACTTGAGCCCTGCGACTGGTGCCTTTGCTGCCCCCCTGCTCCGAGGACCTACTTAAAAAGAAAGGGGATTAAAACAAAGGGTTACAGTGATGTCATTTTAGGAAAAACATACTTAACTGATCAAAGCACAACAATGCAAGCAACAATACAGAATCATGCCATTTCTTCACCTTGTAGAAGATGCAGCTTTGGGATACATATACAGCTTCACCAATATATTTTATCCTGCTCATTGGGTAAATTTTCCAAGCACTACATTTTGCATTTAGTAATGTCTGTAGTTTGGCATATTAAAGTACAACTTTTCTTGCCTTTTATGGTGGTGCCCAATCCACTTTCAAAATGTATCTAAAACAGGGATGTAGCTTTGTCACTGGTTCTATCCACACCTGCCCATCCTCAATTAAGTTTATTTCTTAAATGTCTCCCTAACCCCTCTTGAACACAACTGTCACTTTAATGCTCATTCTTGAAATCAACAGTACCAATTAATCTTGGGACTTGCTTTGTGGAAATGGTGTTCCCTGAACTGAAGTTTAGAATGGGATGAAGTTTAACCTAAATCCAGAAATCGGATATATATATTTCCATGCATTAAGCAGCCATCCCGAATGAGACAAGGAATATAAGCACAATATCTCTTCAGATGTGCTTTCTGAACACATAAAGATATACATTTTTTCAATTTGATTTTTAACCTGCTTCTTCAATGTGTGATTCATATGGTAGTGTAACAGTTCACTTTTTGCAGATACTGACAATGGCAAACTATTAAACATAATGAAACTTAGTAAGAACCAAATCTGTACAGGACAGAAAAAAAAAGTGAAAGAGAGAAGTGATGGGAAAACACATATAAAGGATTCTGAGAAGATTATTTGCAGAATCATTTGGAATCCATGCTGTAATTAGAGGTACAAAACTGCAGCAAAATGGCACTAAAAACCAAGTCTTAAAATGGGCTTTTGGGTGGGAATACCAATGTCATTCCACCTCCAATCAACTTAAGCAGCTTAAGCAAAGTAGCTTTTACCCTGACATGCGCAGTGCCTTTGATCAAATAAAGCTTTTTGTCAGTTTCAAAAAGCTTCTCGTAAATGCTTGCTACAGGGAATAAACACATTTTTGGTTCATGATTTCCTTATTTTTAAATGCATAATGAAGTCTCTGATTGTGGTACTTCCAGTCATTTAATCCAATGAGAATACATGCAATGAACAGTATGAAAGAAATGTAAGTTCAGTATTATTTTAGAGACCTTTTAGATATTCTTACCATATTTACCTGTAACTTCATTGCTGTAAATGTCTTAAGCAGTTCAGACATTCAGGAATTAACAGTCTCCTGTATTCCCCATGTCAGTGCATGACATATATGACTGAAGGCTTGAAACTATCCTGCTGTAAATCATACAGACTTTGTTCTACAACAGAGCAGGTATAATAAAACACTTTTGAGCTAAAAGAGAAATGGATACCATGTACAATCTGAAGGATGTATTTCCTTCTCGATATTTGTGTATTGATTACAAAGGCATGAACAGGAGCAGTACTTGGCCTTGATTTATTATTCAGATTAGTATATTAACAAAGCACTGTAATAAAAAGCCACACAGATTAATGCCTACTGCTCAAAACACTATTCTAATTAACAGAACTCAGTTTGGTGGAGAAAAGAGGCAATGCACAGACTCATGCTAAGGGGTACTTCTCATACATCACACCGAGAGCAATTCTTCTGGGTGAGGGCCTCTACCACTGATCTTGTGCTAGGCTGAGGACCATTAGTTGTCAGGTCAGGTTTCCTATCTTGAGACTTTCTTTCCTGGATTTTACTATTTATTTCCAGCTGCAGTCTACACATCTGTTCCTGTAGCTCACTGATCAGGTTCACTACTGACTGCATACAGGAAAGAAAGGCAGATAAAAAGAAAAAAAGAGGTCAAGGAAGAAATGAGGTCAGGAAGCAAAGTGTATTACTTTGAAGTCATGACATTAAAAAAATTCAATGAAGTTAAGAGGCAAACTGGAAAAGAACAAGCTATATTTTCTCCTCACAATGGAGGTATACATTGTCATAAATCTAGAGGAGGTCCACTGAGTTAGTGTTTAGAAACCAACAGGATAGATGCGCTAGAATTATTCAGAATGAACATCAGAGTGGAGATCAGAGTTTGGCCAACATCTTCAGCAATCCTCTGCAGCAGAAATAAGTCAGATATCAGGACAACTGAAAACATTATTATCAAGTTTGACCAGTGGTGGAAGCTGTTTTGGGACATGGATGAATACAGGATTTACAAGCACATTTTTTTGCTGAAGTGACATTGGCTATGTTGACTTATGAAATCAACTTGGACAGTTGCCTATAGATCAGTTAGGATCATAAGTCAGTGGCCACATTATTTTTAACCACTGGCATTCACACAGAAAATAGAATTAGCTAACCTCCATTTTACTAGCAGGCCAGTTTGTATCTGGGACTAGGAAGGGTGACAACAATAAACCCTTACACCACAAATGTAGCCATATAAAATTGGGCAGAATCTTAACACAGAGATCATGTGAAACAGTTAAGCGGCATATGTCAGAAAAGACAAAATGACATCATAAAACAAAAGCATTCATGTGGAGAAGATCTACTCTGACATAAACAACAAAACAAAACATTTCCAGTTATGGAAGCAAATTAAGAACAAATCAGCACTAAAAGCTCAGAATCCTAGATGGTTTTCCAGCAACTGTGAAAAGTTGGGGTTCCTTTTTCTCAACATTGACATTTACTGAAAACCTATAAATTACAGATTTGCATTTTTCCTAAATCAACTAAATCTGATGACACTGATCCATCCCTTGAATGGGTGGGACATTTAACTGTCAGTAAAATACCTAGAGACACTCAAGAGATTTTGATTTTCTCTATTATGAAACATGGATGTTCTGGTGAGGTTCTATGCTTACCTGGAGTTTTTCTGAAGTCCGGTCAATACAAAGATAGCTGCAGTTATGGTTGGTAACAGTCAGAACATTTTTGTACAGGTGAAGAGCTTACAGAGTGTAGGCATACATGTTACAGACACCTACATGCTGAAGACAGTCAAAGTCCTCAGCATCTCCACAGGACTCCATTGCCAATTTTAAATATAAAAAAGGCCCCCTTTTATTCTCCAAAAGAATCACTATCACTATCAGTGATATTAAAAAAAATTACAGGTCTGATATTTTCACTGTGTTGAGCACCGGATTCAGCATAGCAGGTGCTCATCCTGTTTAAGCACATCTTTAAGTTATTTGTTGAATCAGGACATAAATATATGCTCTGGTCAGATTTCTTCCTCACCCAGCAGAAGTTTTAGGCTGTAGATAAATGATATATCTACAGTCTAAATTGAGCCAAAACCCCTTAACAAATTAAGACATTTAGAAAAAGAAACTGGCCCCTGGCATATGGAGGCTGTAACACCTGTTCTTTTGGAGACAGCTGCACTGTCATGGCTACAGCCTGCCTACCAGCTCACCAAGACAGATGCCATACACTGGATCGATACAGAGCCATTTTGCAACAACGAAGGGCAGGAGTGAAGGGAAGTACCTTTTTAGTGAAGGCTGCCACTCTATCAGAATACTGCAAAACAGAACATCAGGAAAGCACCTAGTTTTGTATAAAATCTGAATACTATGCAGACTCCTACTTTGTTTCCTTATATCACAGTTTCATCAAGTGGCTGATGTTATGTGTGCATGTGCTATTTATTTTTTAACACAGTACTGATAAATCACTGTTGATACTTTAGTATATGATTTTCCAAGGTAAGGTGCCTGACTCCCTTATTTCTTTGGAAAATCCCCATTGTGATCCTACCTGTCTTTGTCAGGGAACAGGGAATACCACTAACCTGCACAAGGGTTTGCAGAACCATTTGCTGCGTAAGTGGAGCACCAAGGTAGATGTTTGTACATATGGACTGACACAGAGAAGAGACCAACCAGCTTCTCTTGTTACAGATCCTTTTCAGGGCAGTGCAACAGTTCAGCAGCAGACATGTGGGAGGCCTCTTGTGCCTGCCTTCCAGCCTTTTTACTGTGCTCCAAGAACAGAATCCCAGAATATGAGGCCATGCATGTCTGCTTGCTGCGGACTTGCCTCAGGGCAGACCTGATAAATTAGAGATAGTAGAACTCCCTGCTTCAGCAGACAGTTGGAGGGGTCCATAGAAGAGAAAGTGAAAAGCTCCTGATGTAGTCTCTGTCTTTGCTGATTCCTGTTCTTCTCTTAGAGGGAAAAGACTAGCATTGATTTCATTTCAGCTCTTTTTGCTTCTCGTTTTCTTGTAATCTCTCTGTCCATTCCCTTTGTCAGGCCTCTTCTCTTACAGCATTAAAGGCTATTAAACTGTTATATCCAGACTTTGGCTTGGGCCAAAGAGAACATCTAAACTTTCCAATTCTTTTGGAAAGTTTGGAACCAGACCCAGATCTAAATAAGCGCAAGAACATTCAGAAGCACTGAATGCACTTTTTTGTTTTTTGCCACTCTACCCCCATGTATTTATAAAGCCTGGATTGAGACCAAGGGGAGGCACAAAGCTTTGTAGCAACAGTGATCATTAGCAGCACTAGCCCTCTGAGACATAAAAGAATCACATTGATAGATGCCTTAGAGCAGGGGTCAGAGCCTGCATGCCAGATCTGGCTTGTGGAGCCATTGGATCTGGTTCATGGAGGTGGGGTTTTGGTGGTATCTGGCAAAATAGGGCTTTGGCAGCAGGTGCTTTCCACATGCCACCAGCTGCAGAGGTTTCTTCTCCTGCCACCACAGAGACAAACATGGCAGTCCTATAGTGCCTGCCTTCCTACCTCTATTCTGAGAAGTGAAGGGAAAGACATGGGATGGGGGAGGAGAGGTGATTTCTGGCTTACAGCCAGAAAAGTCTGCCTACACTTGCCTTGGAGCAAGAGAAAAACTCAAGCTAAACATGTTCCATTTTGGTTTCAATTTCTAGATACAAACAAAAAGTACCTGTTTAAGGCCTCTGCCACATATTACACTTAAGACATGTTTAACCAGTTAATCACATCTTAAGTTGTAACCTGCTCACACTTTAAAGCAATTAATAGCGTTTTAAACCAAGGAATAAGCCACAAAGTAATTCTGCAAAAATGTGAATAACTCTGAGCCTGGTTTCTATCACACCATTAATTATGTGGCCAGGTGTATCCCTGTGGCTGGGAGCCCCATTTTCTGATGGTGCACTCCTATAGCTGGGAATCTGGATCAGCTGATGGGGCTCCCAGCTACAGGACCACATGATATGCCCGTGAGGCTGGGAGCCCCATGAGCAGCGGAGGCTACCAGTTGTAGAAGCTTCCTATCTGCTGATGTAGGCGGAGTGCCATGCATGTGCTGCAGGAAGCACAATTGTGTGGATCGTGCATGAGATCGCACCGCAGCTTTACCTGTATGTCTGGCAGGGGCTTAAGTCCCTGGAGAAACTTTGTATCTTGGATGTAACTTTTCCTACCTAACATTAAAAAGGTGACACAGATTAGATTTGTTGTCACTGTCTAAATCCTTGTTCTTATCACAGGAGACTCAGGGCAGAAACAAATCAGGGCCAAACACATAAGCAATAGGGACGTGCGAAGAGGGCAGTATTCAATTCGGATTCAGATTTGGCCTAATTTGGGGAACAGTGATTCGATTAGCTGATTTGGATCACTGTCCCGATTCGACTTGCCCGAATCTGAATCTGAAGATTCAATTCTGATTTGGAGAATCAGCAATTCAGCTATAGACACAGCTGTATATGTTTTTTCTATGTACCTTGAGGTACCAGGCATGGCTTGTGAATGCTGAGATGGTGGGGAGGATGGAGCGGATAGAATATTTCTGGTCCACTTTCGGGTCCACCACTGAGCATGGGGGGATCCCTCCGCATCTCCCTGGCTCAGCGATTGGCTGCAGGGGGACCCCGGGTGCCACCCCTCCATGCTCCTGTGGGACGCTCCATCCGCCCCACGATCGCAGCAGCGTTCATGAGCCATGCCTGGTACCTCGAGGTACATAAAAAAACATATAAAGCTGTGTCTATGGCCAAATCATCGAATCTCTCTGAATCTCTCCAAATCGATTCAGAGTGATTAATGGGTCTCCTGATTCAATTTGGAGTCGGAGATTTGGCCACTGAATCAGGCCGAATCTCCTCTGAATCAAATCAGCGACCGAAGCTTTGCACAGCCCTAATAAGCAATAGAACTAAGAAAGGACACAGAGACCTCCACTCCTACATATTCTCAGTAAGGCAAGAGATACGGGAAAGCTTTACCCTATCAGCGCATGCATACAAGTAGTAGTCCCATGCTTTTATCAATCCAAAGCAAGAGAAAAGGGAAAGACTATGCAGGTACGGTGGCATGGAAATTGGGGGAAAAAAACCTTCCAGGAGCCATTTCCTCCCTTTAGCTGCCATGCAAGGGTAGGGGGAAAATTTGTACATAGAACACAACTCACAGTCCTGCCAATCAGGGTTAGAAAAGTAATAGAAGTGGCAGGTCTGTTTCTAGACTCTTCACCAAGTCCCTGGTAATTACCCACCCTTGTGCATCATGAAGCTCAAGAGAGCGCAGATCTGCATTATCTTTAATACATGTCACTGTGTATGTTACACAGACTGACTGTCATCAAGCAAGTAGCTCATGAATACAGTCACAATACACAATGCCAGGAGCACAGAGGGAGTGGGAGGTGGGGGAAGAGCACAACAGTTGTTCCTGCCACCTCTTAATAGAAGGCTAGCTTGTGTCTGGGTGCTCACATAGCACAGGCATCTTAATTGCAACATGTCAGTTGATACTGAAGCTCTATCACAACTTGTTGAAGTTAACCCTCCCCTACCCCAAAAAAGCTCCCCCACCCCAAAAACAGCTAAGCAAGCTGGATCTTCAAAACTAAGACCTTTTCAGATAAGATTTTAGAGATGGCCTCAGAAACATTCAGATTATATCACTGCTATAAGAGAAGTCATTCTATGAAAAGAACAGTAAAATTGCAAAACTCAGAGGAAAGTCTGTCTGCATACAAATATGTATTATTGTGGCCCTTCTGTTAGATGGATAAAAATAGCACTTTCAATTTAGCACGTGCTTTTGGAGAGCCAGTGACAAGTGGCATTTGGTATGAAATTAATATCTTGAAAAGAAGCTTAGATATACTCAGCGGACTCTTTGTTACTAACTAAAACCAAACCCAAACCACAGCTGCAAATTGCCCATGATAAACTGAAATGGATTTGACAGGTAAAACATTCACTTCTGGAAGGCTATCTTAATTTGCCGGATCTTGCCCCAACATCATAAAAATAATATGTTAAATTCAATGAGGTCAACTAGATAATATTGTTCTGAAATAAGTAAGCCAACAATCAGAATATATTACAAGCATATTTAGTTGAATTTTCATACATTGTTTTTGAATGTGTTTTTGTTTTAAATCTATTCCTGACAATGGCATGAAACAAGTCTGGATGTGCAATATAATTAGCATGCAACTTAACATGGTTTAGCTAGTGTATGGCTTCTGGGCGAGTTGGCTTTTGTTCTTGAGTAGAAAACTCAACACTATTGGTAGTGGTAACTCAGGGTGCAGATGTAAGTGACAATTTTTGCCCAATCTTGCCACAGAAAACGGTCTATAGCTGTGACCAAACAAAACCGCACAGCTGCAGACAGCTTAAAAAATGGCTGGTGATCAGGCAAAAATCTGAACCCTCATTGCATGAAGGTTCAGATGAAGTTGTTTCAAAACTTCTGTTTGGTCTGGGGGAGCGTTGTAACTCAGAACACTTCCTGCAAAGCGTTCTGAGTTAGAGTGGGAAGCTGCACTTCTGTCTGCACCCTCAAAATCCCATTGGCATCACAGTCACTGTTATCAGTCATGAACTCTGTTCTAAGCAGAGCAATTCACTGATGTGTGGGAAGGGGCAGCCCAGACAAGGCAGCAGACAAGGTGGAGGTAACTTTTTTCTATCCTGTCCTCTGCAGCTTCACCCCTTCCATACTGCCATACAGTGAGTCTGTTCCAAATGTTTATTGCAGCTTCAATTTATTTGCTACGTGTAGTTATTGACATGCCTTAGTTGCATTATGGAGATTTTTCTCAGTTTGTCAGTTGTGGCTCCCTGAAGCACTTAAGTGGACTGTAAGTGTGCCTCTACAAACATGAGTACAAGGAACAGTTTGAGATGGGCATTTTTTTCTCTTCAGAATAGTTTTTGCTGAAAAGGGGAGGGTTTTTTTTTTTAAATTACAGAAGTTTTAGGGGGCAAAATTGCATTAATTCCCAAAAATTATTATACTAGGATATTTTAATGTTGGTAGAGGATAATGGGAGATTTGAATGTTTGGGAGCACATACCCCTTAGCAAGAGATTTGGACAGTTCCTTGTGAAGTAGATTGCACAGGCCTCTTCAGACTTTAGGCTTGAAGGAGATTGCTTAGGCCTTCTACAATTAAGAGACTGATTTTTATGACCAAAAGAGCCTGGGGAGGCCACAGATGTTAGTAGGGATGCTGTTATCTTCCTGGCTTTCAACCAGTGCCAGAAACCTTTGGGCAGAGTGATACAAAAGCATGTGCAGAGGAGGCGGGGGGAGAAGGGGACAACAGAAAAGTGAACAGTAAGACAGTATGTTACAGGTATGCACAGGTAAACTTACATTTGTACACTCATGTAACTGATAACTTGTTGCAAACATTAAATTATGGGGAGAAGATATCTTCCCAGCACAACCTGGATTTCATATTTATCAAGTCATCTAGGAACAAGTCCTAGTCATCTAGGAACAAAAATGCCTTCATAATACCCTGACTTATCTGTGGCAAGTAAGGGTGTTCCTAGCACCCATTTGACAGGCTTTGATTTTCCAATAATCAACTTCATTTCATTTGCTAATTGTTTGTCTGTTACCCCTGGGAATTTTTCTCCTTTAATCTTCCAATGATGCTGTGCTGTGCTGGCTTTCACTATGCTGTGTTGGCTTTTACTCTTCATACATGAAGAATGTCTTGCATTTGAAAGCTTGTCTAGCTCTATCCCAACCATGTAGTTGGTGCAGTAAAAGATATCTCTGTAAGAAATCCCTGCCTCTCACATAATTCCTGGACCATTATGGCTATAACATCACTCTAATGCTACTTTGGCATTTTAAGGAATTGTGCCTGGTAGTTATGAGGGGGTCGTTCATGCGGTTTTAAGAATATGTGCAGTTTTAAGAATAGGTAAGACAAACACTTGTTTAGGATAGTTTATAAGGAAGATTTTGCCTTGAGCAGGGTCAGGGATGGGGGCAGAGGGTGTGGGATGGAACTAGATCATTTCCTGAAGTCCTTTCCAGTCTTACTCTTCTATGATTCTACCTTAAAGTATAAAGGACCCTGACAGTTTTCAATTAAAAGTGCAATGGGATCCATGATCCCAATGATCATGCTTTCTTTCTGCTATGTTACACATGGTACAATAGTGAGACTGGCAATCAGATCCCAATTGTGCCCTATTGCCAGTGCGGAGCCTGCTGCACGAGCAATTAGCAATCCAGTCAGCAGATCAGTGCTCCCAGCCTCAGGAGTGCTTTGAAGTTAAGGGCTCTGATGCACCTGAGGCTGGAAGCCCCAGTCAGCTGAATATCACTGCCTGCTTTTCTCATTCCCCAACTCCTGTGGAAAGGGAAAGGCTCAGTTATTTGCTGTTTTACTACATCCTTCCAGAAAGGATTCTCTGTATCTGACTAAAGCTGCCCTGTAACTTTGAAATTAGTACATAGAAAAAGAAAAACAAGAGACTGAAAAAGATGCATTCATATTTGCTAGTGATTTGCAGTACCAAAGATACACAAAGAGTACCTTAACTGGAAAGCTACTGTGGCACACTCAGTTCGGCCCTGATATTTCTACAAATGATAGTAAGCCTGTGGAAGCTGAATGTACACAAGTGACTAAGCATCAAAAGGCCAGCAAGGAGACTCACCTCAGCTTTGTTCTGCTTCTCTTCATATTCACTCTGTTCCTTCTCCATACCAACCAGCTTTATCTTCAGGTCCGAAACTTCTCCCATTAGATCTAGTTTCTGAGTCTCTAGTGATGTCCGGCTTAGCAGCTCCTGAAAGAACAGGAGAATTCCCCTCAACCGACACACAGTAATCGTGATTTACACGAACAAGTACAGCGCACTAGATTCTTTATTGATAAGTAGGTAGAGAAGGTCTCTACCCAAAGTTTATGCCTTCACTACAATTATAAGATGATTCTAAACCTCATTTTATAGCCACATGCCCTCATTGTTTACGCTGCAAAAATTGCATGGCACTGCAGACGCATTCAACGTAAGTATTTATTACAGTTGGGAAATGTAGCTGCTATCCATGTTTTTCTGGAATTGAAAGAATTAGAATATATCTGAGTGAAAACTTTTTCAAGTTCACTAGAAGGCTCTATTCGGCTGAAAACAACTGAAAAGAAATTGTTTTTACTATCGGCAAAAGGAAAAAAGCACCAAGGAGACTGAGAGGAAGCCTTAGAAAAGAATAACCTTCGCTACCCTTTTCCAACTATGTGTCAATGATTTTTGCAGCTATTTTTCCTAAGTGTTCTTCCTTGCAAGTTACTAAAGAACATTTTTTTTAGCATGTTTGTGCCTGAGCTATTTTGTAGGCAAGTCACTAGCTGGAAGACTCTGTGGAAACTGAATGAACACAAGCATACATAACGTTTCACAAATATTTACATGGCACAGTAGAAAACAGTGTACCAGATAAAATCTTTTCACACAGTTTTCTATAGTCCCGTGGGTAAGAGTCTGAATTCCAGAATCCTCACCAAGAAAGAACTAGATTTCAATATTACAATACAATAATTTATATTTAGATTACATTTTATAAAGTTATTTAGCCAAATATATTCCACAACATGGCAGCCTAGAAAATACCTAAAATCTCTTTCCGTTGCCTGATCATGATAAGCAAATCTTTTCTACCATGCTGAAATCACCTGTAATTTTTCTTTGCACAGTGGAGTACCAGTTGATTTCTCAAGAGCATGCACACTGCCTAAGTGAAGAATGTTGAACAGAAAGTAATGAGACTTAACTAAATTAAGCACAGGAGACAATGTCTAAACCAATCCACGTAAACAAAAACACATTTGGCCACAATTTGTGCTTAGATGACCTCAGTGTACTTTTAGAAACACTAGAAATTGATGGCAGAAAATGACAAGTTTTGGACAAAGATCCTTGTACCAGTCTGCTATCAATGAAACTGGAATATGTTTCTCTGTATTTTCCTCATTCCTTTCAACTACTGGTATCAAGAAAGCCAAGATCAAAAACTTCCAAAAGACAATACATAATTATCATTAAGAAACGCCCCCCCCCCAGAAGTGTTCTAGCACCTCTATTCCATTTGTGGAAGTGATATGTATGTTTATCAGCCTGAATCTCATGGAGAGTCAAGGGCATTTAGGCGTATTAATGCCTAAACCACTTTTAGAATAGAACTGACGTGCCTAAGTCACATAAGTCCTTTTGAAAGAAAGGGTGGTAGATTCTGGTCTCTGCTATATGATGTAAATCAAGAGTAACTTCAGTGATGATGATGTAGTTACTCTGGATGTGCACTGATGTTACTGAGATCAGAATCTGCATCTCATACTGGTGGGCAGACTAAGTACTTACATTATGGCACAGAACCAAGGAAGCATTTTGAAAAAGCAAAGCAAGCAATGATTCATTTAAAAACTTCTGATCACTGTTTATTTGGAACCCAGAGAGAATCCATATCTAAATTGTTTAAATCTGGAGGGAAATATTGTCCAGATTAAAAATAGTAATTGACTCCCATCTGCATTCCCACAGCAATTAGCTAAACCACCCACTGTTCCCAGCACTTTGCCCATTTCCTGCT